TGTTTATTTTTTTGATTATAGATCATATAGTTATTGATATCCGATTAATATGATTTTTGGTAGACATGAAGTACTCAATAAATCCTACAAAATGAACGATTCAAATCATAAAAATATGTTTATAATACATCTCAAATTGAAGTATAACAGTCACTGCTGTGCTTTAACCACAGCAGTGACCCCTCTTCCCAGAAGAGGATTCCACTTATCCAACTACCATATTATATTGCTTTGGTTTATGTCCGGTCATTATTGTTTAGGCCTCGTTTGGCAAGAGGCTATTTTAGCCAATTAGCCAAAAAGTTACTAAATTAGCCAAAAAGCCAACAACCTATACCAAAAAGTCAAAGATTCTCTTTTCTCTCTACTTTTTGCACATCTTTTCGTAATTAGCCAAAAAGTCATCCCAAACATACAAGTTTTTTTTACCTACCTTTTTAGCCAAATAGCCAAAAAGTTACTAAATTAGCCTGTTCCCAAACGAGGCCTAAAAATAAGAAAAAGTAGTTTATAAAATTTTTGTAAATATAAATAACCAAACGCTTCCCTAATATTTGAGTTTGTTAGTGAACATGGGCATGGGATGCGATTTTTAATTTTTTTGGTTTGGCCCATGCTATGAAGCACGGACATGTCACTGGTGGCAGCATATGGGTGTCGGACACGTGTCGAACACGGACACGCGTCAGACACGCGGTAGACACGTGTCCAACACTCGACCTAACGTGTCCTTGTTTTTTTTGTTTTTTTTTTTGAATTTTTTGCAGGCGGACACCCTTTCGGGCACACTTGACACGTTGTGGACATGTTGTAAACAGAAAGAAACCCTAATCAGGAGACAGAGAGAAACTCTAACCCATTGAAGATAGAGGGAGAGAGAGAGAAAGAGAGAGAACCTATTGAAGCCTATATCGAGGCTAGATCGAGTCCTCTTCGTCTCTGATCGAGGTATTTCTTTCGCGTCTTTGTTCGTCTCCTCTTTCTCTGTGTTCGTCTCTCATCGTCTTCATCTCTTCTCTCTCTGTCCATCTCTCTCTCTTCTCGCCTCTCGCTCTCTGATCGTCGCCTCTCGCTCTCGCTCTCTGTCTCTCCCTTTTTTCTGTTTGACTCTCACTTTCTCTTCCCTCTTCCTTATTACGTGTCTGACTGTCTCACGCCCTCTTTATTCTTTTTATTCTTTTTTCTTTTTTACACCCTTTTTTTTGTAAATAAATTCAAATAATATATTTATTTTTTAATTTTACATATAATAAATAAAATAAATAAATAAAAATAGTATATATTTTTTAATTTTACATATAATATATAAAAAATATATATATATTAAACGTGTCCCCAGCGTATCGTGTCCCCTATTTTTTAAAAATTTGCGTTTTTGCGTGTCGCGTGTCGTGTCCGTGTCGTGTCGCGTGTCCGTGTCCGTGCTACATAGAACCTAAGTATGATAATCTTAGATATGATAATAAATATAATAGGATATATATAATAGACCTAATATATAGTTACTATATTATATTATACCTATATCATAGTAGGAATGGTTACACCATGCAGACGATCTAAGTTGCTCTCATTGACGCACCATCCAAGTCGTTCCCTTAACAAACTACCCAAGCCGCCCCTTTTGGCGTACAACTCAAGTTGTACCTTCGCGTTAAATATAGTAAGTAACTATCTATATAACAAAATAAGGGTGTTTTTGAATTGGGGATGGGACATTTGTCTATGTGTCAAAATGTGGATCATTAGATTTTTTTATCTTTTATTTTTTTGACACATAAAATGTGGATCATTAGATTGATTCAATCCAAGGACTGAAAATATCTTTCTCTCAAAGCGAAACTTCATTACTTGAAGAGTGCTATAGGGAAATTTTGAATCCTCTGTTGTGTATGTTGTGTTTATCTTCTATGGGTTTAGTTTGTTTCTTTTGAGGGAGTAATTTGTTTTTGTTTATGTTTGTTCTCCCTACAAAAAGATGTGTATTAAACTTCATTGTATATTTTTTTTTTTTGGTCATAATATGACTTACTTATCCAAAAAAGTTTAAGAACATATGAGATGTTAATACACTCTATATGTGTCAATGATTGGCTCTCATTCTAAATTGAATGATTAATGTTTTATTTTTGGCTAACTAGGATGATTACTATTTTGTATCAAAATATTCATTCATCCACTCAAAAAAAGTATTGAAATCTGATAAGGCGAAACGTTTACCAATTATGATATTAATTCAGTAATATTCTTTTATTGAAAGTTTGCTATACATGTGTTATTTTAGCGTGGATCAAATTATAAAATTTTCTATTTGAACTTAAGTTTTAGCAAATCTTTTTAGATTCTTTGCTTATGCTACACTGGAATATAAAACTCATTATTTAGACTTTATTTTTGAAGTTTGCTATTTGAGATTTATGAATATTTTTATCAGTTTAATGTGTAGAAACAATTTCAGATTCTTATATGTAAAGTTATAAATTGAAATTAGATTATCATTTTGAATTGATTTATTACAATTGAATTCCATAACAGATGTGATACCAAAAAAATTGTTAGTATTTAACATGGAGAAGAGGGAAAAAAAGTACTTCCTTTTTTCTTTTTCTTTTTTTCCTTAAATGTTTTCTCTTCATTTTCTTAGCAACCAAACAGAAATTTAATTTGCTAGAGATAGAAAGAGACCTCGAAGGCGTGGTGGTAGTGGAAAGGCGCCCTCCTGTGGAGGCGATCTCTGAAGCGTCGGAAGAGATTGGAGGAGGTAAGTTTGCGGCCTTCGGAGACCCATTTTTGGAGGATGTTGGAGCTGCCGAATCTGGGTAAATAAAGACTGGATATTCCGCTCTTGAGATCATCGTGTTCGCCATTATAATGTTGAGCTTTTTTATTCAGAGAAGAAGGAGACTCTTTCACAATAACTTCGCTTCTTCATGCACTTGATAAGGAGAGAAATCTGGAGACTCCTTTGGCCTCCGCAATTTCTGCACAAAAAAAAAAGTAACTAGTTTCACTCACGAGAGAGAGAGAGAGAGAGAGAGAGAGAGAGAGAGACTTTTAGGGTTTTAGAGTATGCACACCTATTGAGAGCGAGGAAGATCGAGCGAGCCGCCATTGCAGGTGTTCGATCAAGTTCAAGCCCGCTTTCGTTTCGTTTCGTTTGTTATATTAAGAGAAATGTTAGGGATAAAAAAAAATTTTAATTAGTGTGTGATTTTTTATTTTAATTGTAATTTAAATGTCATAAATTTTTTATGATCATTTTTATGAAATATCTTCTATAATACTTAACATTGCTGTTATATTAAAGGTAAATTAAGTAATTAACTATTGCCCTGTTAACTACTTTAACATAAATTAATTTTATCTTTTCTTATGTTGTTTTGTTTTGGGGATCAAAATCCGATTGACTTTCATGAGTGCACAGACTCCGACAAAGAATTTTTTTTTTTTTTAAATACACCACTATTAAATTTAGGAGCTTCTTAAGTCATTTTTAATAATTCAACAATTTTTTTTTTTTTTTTTTTTAAAGTCAATAGATTGACATTTTAAACAAGAGCAATGATTAAAACATCGATCTCCACAAGACACACAAATCTAGACTACTTATGGTATAGATCTTACACATATATGAGTGTAAATTAAGTAATTAACTATTGCCCTGTTAACTACTTTAACATAAATTAATTTTATCTTTTCTTATGTTGTTTTGTTTTGGGGATCAAAATCCGATTGACTTTCATGAGTGCACAGACTCCGATAAAGAATTTTTTTTTTTTTTAAATACACCACTATTAAATTTAGGAGCTTCTTAAGTCATTTTTAATAATTCAACAATTTTTTTTTTTTTTAAAGTCAATAGATTGACATTTTAAACAAGAGCAATGATTAAAGCCTCAATCTCCACAAGACACACAAATCTAGACTATTTATAGTATAGATCTTACACATATATGAGTGAGCTCTACACGTACATAGAGGGTTACAATCACTTTAGATGTGTAAGGTTCATTCCCAAAAAGGATCCCAAACATTTTTGTTTAAACAAACAAAGTTGAGACCCGTTTATGATTAGTTTTTTTTTTTTTTTCATTAAAAACAGTATTCTTTATCAAATATATTTTATTATTTTATTTAATTTCTTATATATTTTACCACATCTATATGTACTTGGTACTGGTTGAGATATACCACACTTGATTGGATAGAACCATGGCCATGATCATTATCATTACGTGATATTGTTGTTGATTACTTCAATTTAAGTTGAATTTGCAATCTAGTTGTTATTCTCCTTAAATCTAGTTGTAATCCTAACAACTAGATTACTTCAAATTCAAGGAAGGAGAATAACAGGAAACTTCAAAATGAATTTGTAATCTAGTTGTTAGTCTCCTTCATTTTTAATTTTTTTTTTTTTCTTCCTTTTTGTTGTGTACCAAATTGGATTTTATACGGTGAAATATATACTTTAGTGTTCTTCCAAATATTCCAATAATATTTCTTCAAAATAATAAATACTTGGCGAAGCCTTTTAGCTCAAGCTTTTCCTATACCTATATTAGTGGATTCGCATAGAAAAGGAATTTTGAGAAATTTTCTTGTTATTTTTAATTTTCTTTTTCTGTACAGAATAGGTATATTGGATATAATTTTAATAGCCAAAACTCCAATAACTCATTGATGTAATTATAGAACGTCTCAACAATGACTCTTTTAATTTATTGTGTAGTGTTAGTCCATTTATGGGAAATTTGTATTTAAAACCTCTTTATAATAGTTGATGGGTAGATATTAGGCTGGCCACAGTTACACCAGTCCAAAGAATTTGGAAGCCCAGTTGGGCTCGAACAATTCGAGACTTGTTGGACTTGGGCGTGACTTGGAATGGGTCGCTCGTGGGCTTGGGTGTGACTTCAAACGGGCCAACATGTGGATAACCAGATTGGCCTAGGGCAGTAGAAGTCCATCCAATCTTTGGGGCGACTTTAGGCAGAGTTTACAGTAACAAAGGAAAGAGAGAAAAGCACATGAAAGGATACGGAAAAGGGATCCATATACTGCAAATCAATGAACACTAACGCAAAAACATACCTCATTCTAATCAGTGAGGCATTCTATTAATCTCATTTTTTCCTGCATCAGTATAGATTTCACTAAGAAGCTAGATCCTTTTTGATATGACATAACAGCTCATTAGCTGTTAAAAGAAGCACAGACAAGAAGTCGAACAACAAAACAAAAACGGAAAACAATCAAAATCTAAGTCCTGAATTATAGAATCCAGGATCATGGATACAAGAAGCAGGGAACAGCAATTCCAAGCTGCAAGCCCAAATTATTTCTCATCGTTCTTGGATCAACTGAAACACAGGCCTGCCCTTGCTTTGACTCATCTATATGATATCGCAGCCCTTCTCAGTCAGAAGCATGCGAAACGTTTTGCCTGTTTCCATCAACCCAGCATCTGAAAACACTTTTAACAGCCTGTTGCAGGTAGAGATGTCAAACTCTGTGGAAGCAGATTGTTTCCATTGGTCAATAACTTCTCCTGCCTCTCCTGAATGCCCAAGAATGAGATACGAAGAAAGAATACACGCATAATTCCTACTTGTCATTTTCTGTTTCGTCATCCTCAAAGATTTCCAGATTTGATCAACTTTATCTTTATCTCCCAAACCGGTATAGAGGATAATTAGAAAATCATAAGTTACCCATTCTCTCTGTGTAATACCCTTTTCATTTTCAACCAGAGAGTTGGACTCTACATTCATGAGGTTGCCCGAGGTAATATATATGTTTGCTACGTTTGCATATCTTACCCAACATTCATTAGAGCCAGAGTTGCGAGTCATTTCATCAAGAATCGTTCTAACTTTGTCAATATCCAAGGTGGCGGCACATGAACTTATCCACAGATTGTAAGTGAACAAATCTGGGGCGACGTTTTGTCGTTTCAGTTCTTCAATAACAGAAGGAACCTTCTCGACCTGCCCAACTGACATGTACAATGTCATTATCTCGTTGTATGTGACAGCACTCAAAGACAGGTTAGCTTCTTTTGCTCTCTCATAAAGATCCTCAGCATTTTCAATAAGTTTTGCCCCAGCATAAGAGTGAAGCAGAGCGGTGTAGGTTTCGCTAGTTTTTGCAGTGGGAGGTAAACCTTCAAAGTATCGCTCGGCAGCATCAACACCAAACACTTTGGTCATCAAGTCAATGCGGACTGCATAGTCGGAGTCCGATAATTCAAACTCTCCGTGACTAACCATCCACTCTGATATCTGAAAGCTCATACTAGTTACACAACAGTATGTAACACTTCTTTAACAAATACGTAACGAGAAGTGGTAAGAAATTTTGTTGTCAAACAAATGCTTCAATTGATTGCAAATAATTAAATGAAGCACTGTTAAGCAATTCAAACAGTAAATGCGAACAGTACTAAGTCATCCATGAGTTCTAAATTTGCTGGGAAATAAACAGAAATAGTTCGAAAAGTTTCTTCAGATTGCAGTATCTTTTTACAGGCCACTTTTAAATGTGAATTTAGACATCAATCAGGATAAATAGTTGAGCACTTGGTCTACATCATGCTACCTATGTTCATTTCAATTCCCAACATGCTCATTTTGACCTTTAAAACTTTCTTTTACACTGCATTCAGCATACACAGATAGAGAAAGCAGAGAAAGGTTTTCATTGCTTTCTAAGATGTAATTTACAATGGAGAAAAAAGGGAAAAAAATGAAAGGTCAAATAAGAAAAATTAGACCTTTCTCCTAAGCATGTGTGATAGAACCGTTAGAGAGAAAAAGATGAGCCTCTCCATAAAACAAAATAAAATAACAATCTTCAAAAATACTAACAACATGCCTGTCGTCAAGTTAATGGATTACAAGGCACGTTCCCCATTTTGCCTAATTAGGTGAGTTTTCTGTTTGAGCAAATCCAACCTGTTAGACGCACAGCCCAGGGCCCAACATAACAGTCGGCCTCACAGGTTTGTCCCATTGGGCTCCAACCCAAAAGGTGCCTCCCCAGTTGAGGTGTTCTGCAGCATCTTACAAGTCTATTCTGGATATCATCCACAACCGATGTGGGATGCCAACATCCCCACCTCAAAGCTGGCAACAACCTCGACTCTGATACAATATCAGACACGCAGCCCAACCCTCATCTAGAGGTGTAGTCTGTTATAGCCCACCCCAAAAGCCAGTCTAACGGGTTTGTCCCGCTCCAATCCAAAATATGCCTCCCCAGCTAAGGTGTATTGCACAGTGTTATAAGTTCATCCTCAACATCTACTTTTCCTTTGGAGCATCCCTTCCCTGACCAAATTCTTCACCCTGACCAAATTCCAGTCATCTACTTTTCCTTTGGAGCATCCCTTCCCTTTAGCATTCAGTAACTAAAACTAATCATCATTGAGTTCATTGATAGAGATTAGTAGCATTCTTTTTACACTCTCCCATCTCATCAATTCTTAATAACCCCAGAAATTGTCGTCTCTACCTCAACCAAAACACAATGAAACTCAAACCCTAGCACAATTTTTTGTCTACAAAATTGTTAATTCTCTCATCACACCTTCAATCATAGTTGATCAAGAAACCAAAATTCAAATGCACAAAGCAATATACAGGTCAAAACAAAGAGACCCAGTCTTCCAATTGGAGACAGCAAAGAGGGGGAAAAATAATATCTTTTTTATGTTCTCTCTTCATTTTCTCAGCAACCAAACAGAAATTTAAATTGCGGGAGAGAGAAAGAGACCTCGAGGGCGTGCTTGTAGCGCCGAGACTTGCGGAGATCACCGGAAATGCGTCGGAGGTCAGAGGTGGTAATTTTGCGGCCTTCGGAGACCCATTTTTGGAGGACGTTGGAGGCGCTGCGTTTGGGGAGTCTGAGCCTGAATATTCTGCTCTTGAGATCATCGTCTTCGCCATTTCCATCTTGATGTTCTTCATCCTGAGAAGTATGAGACTCTTCGACAACAACTTCGTTTCTCGATGCGTTTGATGAGGAGAGAGATCTGGAGAGAGTCCTTTGGCCTCTACAATTTCTGCAAAAAAAGGACCTATGTTCACTCAGCTTAGAGAGAGAGAGAGAGAGAAAGAGAGAGAGAGATTTTGGAGTATGCATACCGAGTGAGAGCGAGGAAGATCGAGCGAGCCGCCATTGTAGCAGGTGTTCGATCAAGTTCAAGCCCGATTTCGTTTCGTTTGTTATACTAAGAGTAAATTACACTCACCTCCCCTCGGGTCTCAGAAAAATACAAAAACTTCACAGAAGTTTGATAAAATTATTAAGATTTTAATTCATATATCATTTGGTTATGTTATCATCATAAATTCATTAATTGTATCTTATAAATAAAAAATAATATTATCATCTCTTTTATATTAAAATATACATTTAAATTATTTATCGTAGTGTTTTCATGCCACTTATATTAATTTTGATTTATTTAACCTCATTAAAATTGAATTTAGGCCTCGTTTGGCAAGAGGCTATTTTAGCCAAAAAGTTATTAAATTAGCCAAAAAGCCAACAACCCATACCAAAAAGTCAAAGATTCTCTTTTCTCTCTACTTTTTGCACATCTTTTCGTAATTAGCCAAAAAGTTATCCCAAACATACAAGTTTTTTTTACCTACCTTTTTAGCCAAATAGCCAAAAAGTTACTAAATTAGCATGTTCCCAAACGAGGCCTAAGAGTCTAATTATATTAATATTTTAAAACTTGTTATATTTTTTTTTTAAATCTCAAAGGAAGTTAGTGTAATTTACCCTTATATTAATTATCGAGTAAAAATTAATTATTTATATATTAACTAATAAACAAAAATGAATTTTTAGATATTAAATATGAAATTTTGTTCCTTGATTAATATATTCAAATATAATTTTTGTTTTGATAATTGATGCTAAAACGAAAAAATATGTACCAAAAAATTTTATGATGTTCAAATAAAAATTCATGTTAAATGTGTATTTAAAATAAAGACAAGTTAAACTTTTATCATTCAAAGTTTATTTGATTTTTGTTAAAAAAATAAATTTGAATCAATCTTAAAATTTAATAAAGGTTTAAAGTATTTAATTAATTAATTTATTTAACGAAAATCCCAAACGAGTTTATAAGTAATTAACTGTAGCCCTGTTCATACTTTATAGCTATGCCTGAAAATGTTTATAATTTGATTTTATTTAGGGGCTTTTTTTTAGGGTTCCTGATATTAAAATTTTATAGTAAAAAGTGCATTTAATATTTTCATAATGTCTAAGGTCCCTCAACATTGAACCAGAGAAATTTCAGTCCAAAGAAATTCCAACCCAGAGAAATTCCAGCCCAGAGAAATTCTGGGCTTCCAAAGAATTTTTCTGGATTCAAGACTTTGAACATTCAAATTTCTCTGAATCTATGGACTAAAATAAAAAAAAAAACAAAAAAAAAAAAACTACAATATCAGCAGCCCTCAAAATGACACACCATTTGCCTTCATTTGCACTTTGAATGAACACACATCAACAGTGTAGAAGGTGATCAATCTTGTAATCAGACATGACAAAGTGAATGCATAGAAATTCATAACACAGTACCCATTCTTAAATGTTAAAATCAGTGCCTTTGATTTTATCCAAAATGCAAACATAAGAACTTCTAACTAATTTCTTCACCTCGCACCACACCAGATGCTTAATTTAACAAAACCAGCTCATTCCTTGTTTTCCATAAAATCCACAAGATTGCCATGGGCATTGCTTCCCAAATTAATTTCTTCACCTGTTTGAATTTGCAGTGTTACCACTATGGATTTGTTTACATGGTCCAAAGAAATTCTTTGGTTTAGACTGAATTTTTTTTGGTTTAAACTGAATTTTCTCTGGGTTGGTTCGGAGAAATTCTCTGGTTTGAACTAAATTTTCTCTGGGTTGGTCCAAAGAAATTCTCTAGTTTGAACTGAATTTTCTCTGAGTTGGTCTAGAGAAATTCTCTAGTTTGAATTGAATTTTCTCTGAGTTGGTCCAGAGAAATTCTCTAGTTTGACGAAGGCATATGATTCAGTTCCTCTTCAAAGGAATCACAAATATAGAATCAAGTTTTTTCATGATGAAACTTCAATACACAAAATGTAGTGACAGAAAACAAAATTGGGGACACAACAAAAAAACCTCTATCCTGCAAGTAAAAAACCTGACAAACTCACTCCCCAGCTATGCTGATTGGCCGCCTTCAGATGCCAATTTTATTCGCTGTTGATGCTCTGCAACCTTGTTGTCAACTATTTCCTTGAATAGCTCGGAATCCAATACACAGTCCGGGCGTCCATACACGGCTGCTTGAACACTGGCCATTAGTTTCGCTATCTCTCGACTTGAGAAGCCTTCTGTCTTCTTGGCAGCCTCTCGAATCACATCATCGGACAAATCTTCTATTGTTATCTTTTGTGTGCTCTTCTTAAACAAAGAACCCCATTTAGACTCACTGTTGTTATCTTCACCGGATAAATACTTGTTTCAATAGAGCTTCAACAGTTTGAAACGGAATTTGGGGTACCCGAGAAAGAGAAGAAGCATTGTTTCAAGCTGTCCATCGTCGATGCGATTAAATGAGTGTGTTGTAATTTCATCAATGATTGATCAGCAGATGACCAATCGGTTGACTGGCCGTTGGATGCCAATCCAGCTGCCATTGATGTAGGAGAGCGAGAGAGGAAGCAGAGAGTGAGAAGAAAGAGACCAAACTTAGTTTTTGAAGATAGTTTTGAAGCCGTTTGGTTTCTTTTAAAATTTGTCTGTGATATATGGGTTTGGTGTTGAAAGACCTTAGATATCATAAAATAACATTGTGGATCTCTTCCATTATTAAAAGTGGGAGAGGGACCTTAGACTAATTTTTCCTTTTATTTAACATAAATTAGTTTCTCTTTTATTTGTCTTTTTCCTATGTCATTTTTAAGAATTCAACCAAAAGTTTTTTATTTTATTTATTTTATTTTTTTTATCAAATATTTTCACTATTTTATTTATATATAACTTGATGGATAGAACCATGATTAGGATCATTAACAAACATCATGGAAAGTTATTTATAAGTCCTATTAGGGAGACTTATACTACATATGGTCCTACTAAAAAATTTATGTTCTCATAAGTCCTAAGATATTTGTTGACACATTTACCCTCAATATTAGTTGTTAATATCATAAATAATAGTAACACCATATATAGGAAATTGAATATTACCATAAATCATATCTGCATAAACGTAATGTAACGTGACACCTAATTGCATGTTACCATAGATCATATCTACATAAACGTAACGTAACGTGACACCTATGATCTATGGCAACATTCAATTTATTTATATGAAACGTAATGTGACACCAACATAAACCAGCAATATTTTCACATTCAATTTAAAAAAATAAAAATTCATTAAGTTTGCGAAACGTAACGTGACACGTTACGTTACGTTTATGTAGGTATCACATTACGTTACGTTTATATAGGTGTCATGTTACGTTACGTTTATGTAAATGTCACGTCACGTTACGTTTATGTAGGATCTTGTGGAATACATTCCTATCTAAATAGGACTTGAGACTCTATAAGAAATTACACAGGACTAGCCTACTATAAGTGCCTGAAAAAAAACTTATAAATAAGTCTCCCTTAATATTACTTGTACTTATAACCTTATCATTTATTTTAGGATAAACTACCAATAGGTCCTAATAATTGGACTTAATTCCTATCAAGTCCCATAAAAAATAAGTCTTGATAAAATTGTCACTAAAAATAATTTTTTTGTGACAATTTTTTATATATGTCGTTAAAAATTGACAATTAGTGACTTTTTTTTATTATAATTTTTATTAATTGTTATTAAAACTTACAATTAGTGACTTTTTTATGACAATTTTTTTTCATAGGATCTATTAGACAATAAGTCTACTTAGTGACTTTTTTTATGACAAAATTTTCTCATAAGACCTATTAGATAATAAGTCCATTTATTAGGACATACACGTAAGCACCCCTTCGTTTTATTCTACTTTTCTGATTTAATTTATGAATTTGCAATCTATGATTATGTGATATTGTTATCAATTACTTTATGTGTTAGATGTTAGATAGATGGGTTAAAGGGAAAAAAATAGCATTGAGGATGACAGATATTTGATTCAAATGTTTAAAAATGTGACTTAAAAAAAAAAGAAAAAAGAATCATTAGACCAAAGTATGGAAAAATACAACAAACATGATTTGTGGTCACCTTCTCCTATCTATCTCTCTCCACTTGCATTTGCGTCATCTGAACTTTTAGCTAGTATTTTCTTTCACATATTTCATCGAATGCCAAACTTTTAGGTTTAGAAACACACTTTTTTCATAAACATGCCAAGGGCTCGATAAAATTCCCAAACGTGATATGGATGCAAAAACACACCTCTTACTATAACACACAAAGGCCTCGTTTGGAAAGTGGCTATTTTAGTAGGCTATTTTAGTTTTTGGCTATTTTAATAGGCTAAAATTTTTGTGTTTGGGAAGATGATTGGATTTTTTTGTGGTTGGATGTGATGTTTGTGAGAGAAAAAGTGGAATGATTATGGATTTGATGTGATATTTTGTCTTATTAGCTATTTTAACCTATTTTGTCTTTTTGTGATTTTTTGGCTACAATTTTAGTGAAGACAATGCTAAGCAAATTTCCTCTTGAATGGAGTATGTGACAAATCTTATAGGACAAGTAACAACTACAGTAAACAAAACATAAAACCAAACACAAACATAGAAAACAAATAAGTAGATAGGATTTTTAAGTGAGCCTCACAAACAAATTTTATCCATTTATGTACATTTTGTGTTCAATTTTGTATTTAATTTTTGGGTTGTCAACTGTATGTACAAACTTCATATTCAAATTCTTAAAGAATATTCCCAATCCACCTTGAATTTCACATATCAAAGCAAGTTTCATACGACACTACGTACAAAACCGCAGGAAAACTTACTAAACTCAACATGGTAATATTATCATCATCATTATTGTATCAGAACAAATATGTTAATTACAGTTTCTTGGTCCTCTTTTGGAACCTGAAACTGCACAAACACAAACAAAACCATCCATGGCTTTACCATTTTTGGATCAGCCTCACTTTTCTTGTGTTGAGACTTTATTACAGCACATTAATGTATACAAAATAACCTATTGAAACTCTTGAGTCTTGTTGAGAGTTCTTGAGACATCTATATTTTTAGATATCTCACCTAAAAAATTAATTCCGAAACAGTATGAAAAGCTTCATGAAGGAAGAAGTGACCCTTTTCTCTTTGGGCAAATTATAATAATAATTCTTATACTTTGGCCTTTGTGTCATTTTAATCTTTATAATTTCGATCGACTCAATTTGGACTCTAAAAGTACGTCTTTGAACTAGAATGTATCATGCTTTTTAAAGACAAAATTATAAACTTACTCTACTCAGTCAGCAAATCTCAACTAACTGAGTAACCATTTTTTAAAATCCAAAATCCTAACTAATATTATCAAAATTGAGCCAATTGAGAGAGGATATATGGACCAAAATGACATGAGCAACAAAATGTAAGTATGACCCTCATAAAATTTGCCTCTTTTTTTATGAGAAACCTCTCCAAAAGTAGAGTCACCTCCGGATACCTGAAATTATTGGCAAACTATGTGCAATAGTAATCGAATCTAAGATGTCCGGATTTACGGTTCATCCCAAGACAATGCCCCTTTTACCACTGGGCTACCCGTGCGGGTTCAACGAAGCCTTCTCACAACAGGACACTGATCTCTTCATCAAAGCAGGACCTTTTTGCAAAGATCTCCCAATTGAGTTATCACCCATTGATCTCATCAACCTTTGATTGACCTCAACATTCTTTGCAACATTACCCATATCAAATTCCTTCACTTTCACGACTTGGGAATTTGCATTGCCATCATATTCTCCAGATTGTGCATTACCCATAGCAGCACTGAATACTGAAACCGACGAAAAATCTACAGACACAGATCTCCTCGTTGGTCGAATCTCATCACCCACCTCTTGCTTCACAATTTCATGTCTCTTTTCTCCACTTTCAACCCCTAATTCACCTCCTTCCTCTGTTTCTCTCCTCAATTCACCACTACCCTCTGGAATCACAACCTGGGTTTCCTCCCAAACAATCGAATTCTGAACACTCTGCTCCGGCAATTGCGTTGGCAATCTGGCCGGGTTAGTGACAATACTGGCTCGACAAAGGGGACAATTGGTGTGTGATCTGAGCCAGATATCAATACAGTGTATGTGAAAAGCATGGTTACATTTGGGCAATAACCTAAGAGTCTCATCTTCTTGAAACTCATTCAAGCAAACAGAGCACTCTGTTCCTTCAACAATTCCATTGACTCTGTTATACTTACAAACTGGAATTGAATGGATGATGGCTGGGTTCAAACCAATGGTTCGGATGTACCAAATCGGATGATCCAACACTGGTCCATGATCAAGAAAATCATAATGGGTCTCTTGTCGTTGTTGTTGTGGTGGTGGTGGTGATGATGATATTGTTCTGTTTCTTTGCCTATTCTTGTAGTGTTTGTAGATTATATGGAAACAGAGGAGGAGGAAAATGGCGGCGAGAATGGAAAGAGGAATGATGGATTTGAGAGGAAATTTTTTGGGGGTGTTTGGAGGGCAAGAAAGTGTGGGGCAGGGAGGGTCTGCTGGTGGCGGTGGTGGTGATAGAGAGTGGCGACAGATGGAGCGACACATAGGTATGCATTTGTCTGGGCAGGTACCATTCTTGTTTTGTAAAGGGTCGCAATAAAATTGTGAACAGATTGGTGGTATGCCTGTACTGGGTGGTGAATCTAAGGATAACTTTCTATGATTATAGGCCATGATTGACAGAGAGAGGCCTTGGATGGATTGGGGGGAGAAGAGGGTGAAGAGAGAGAGAGAGAGAGAGAGAGAGACTGTGTGTGCCGAATAGGTTGGTGGGGGCGATAATGGAGATGAGGGAGGTTTTGTTCTGTTCTTTCTGTTTGCTTTTGTTCTGGAATCAAGTTCGATTATAGCAGACTTGGATTGGTTGGGGCCAACTCTGCCCGACCTTCCCCGGCCCATCTAACTTGTTTTGTGATCGGTTAATGGATGCCACTATATAACATTAACAAGTTGTGAAAAAAGTTACTCAGGCTTCCATTTACAACACCTCTCACAAAGGTATATGATTTGGTTTGATCAATATATTGGATTGTTTGTAAGTTTGTAATAGAAGAATTTGTGTTAGACTGTTTGTTATAATTTTTATATATAACTTATGAGATAAAATAATTTAAATAATTTAAATAAACAATTGATTTTTTGACAGTTAAGAGATCAGTGTTTTTTTTTTTTTCAAGTTTTCACAACTTGCAACTTTACAAGTTGCCGATCTAAAAAAAAAACCTTCACATGTTATGTTAGCACCAAAAGAATATAAATTGTTAGTAACAAACAAGTAATTTTTTAGATGATAAAAAAAAAAAAAAAAAAAAAAAAAAAAAAACAAAAAATTACGTAAAAGAGGGTTTCGGTTCATCTCCAAAATAAGAACTATTGGGCTGAATACAAAGTGAGAATTATGAGCATCCTCACCGATTTAAAAATTCAGAATCAAGTTGGGACAAATTGGGCCCTATCTCTGGCCCAACAATTCCAAACCAGGTCAAACTGAATGAACCCACAATTTTTAGTCTCAAAATATCTAGAGTAACCGTTTGGCATGGTAGGTTTGGATGGGTTGGGACTAAAATAATTATAAAAAGATAAAAAAAATTATTATATTAATTTATAATCATTTTATTTTTCTTTTAAAATAGTTAAAAATTCCATTCCAAAACGAGGAAGCTAAAAAGTTAAAAAGCCAACTTACTTCCCAAATGAAACCAGAATTTGTAATGAAATTTATACTAAGAAGTTGTTTGATATGATCTATATTAGCACTTTTGATTTTATCTTTTTATTTTTTTTAATCATATCACTTTTTTACTTTTCTACATATTTTTTTTTGTAAACATAAAAAATTACATTTATTTATATCATTCCAAACAACTCCTAAGTGCAGGTAGAGGTGATAAATTCAATCCTAAATGATAATGTCAATTACACCTATTTAAAACTTGTTTAAATTAATCCAACTTTATAAACAAATTTAAATGAGTTTCATCTTGTAAATTCAATTAAAGTTATATTTAAATTTTAATGAGTTGGCTACTCTGCATTTATTCCGGATATATTCGCAATCTAGCGTAATGAATGCATTGATTTCAACGTATTAAATTGTTATTAGTCTAGCTAGTACTAAAACGAGAAAAGGGCAAAAAAATAAGAGTAATGAGCATGATTATTTTTATTATTATTGTTATTTTATTATTTTTAGTAATTAATGTTATAATAATTATATTTATATATTATATTATATTTATTATCTCATCTGCCATAATTGTATTAGTTGAATGAGATCCATCATTTATGTTTGTTATCAATACAGTAATGACACATTATATAATAAATTTAATATCATATATAAATATAATCATTATAATATTATTTATTTATTTTTACTACCTATAAAGTTCCTTTGACTCATAGTGTAATTAGAAATATCAAAATTAAACCTAGTTATTTATGTTGGACCCAAAATAATAATAATAATAATACGATGATGTGGGCTCGTCTAGAACCAGTATTCAAGCAAATCACTACCACCGCCATTTTGCTAAAGTACAACGCCGTTCCAAGTAGAGTAAGTGAATAAAAATCCCTTTGAGAATTCAGTAGTGTCATCGGAGGAGTGAGAAAAAGACCTAGCTAGGGTTGGGTTGGGGTGAGATCACCAGTGGTGGCGATGCAAACTAGCATGGGCCTCTCCAAGATCTTGATCTTGGTCGGAGCAAGTAATCTATCTACACACACAGACACACACACACATACACACAAAACTCGCTTAATCGATTTCGGTACTAAGCTCACTCTTGTCTTTTGATATCGATCTGTTTATACTTTGCAGGGTACACTAGTACGATCCTGGTTAAAAAGGGTAAATTATTTGATATATTGGGCGAAATTCAGGTAATTTGATCTTTTGTTGTATTGCTCAAATTTAGCTCAAATCACCTTGTTTAGGCAGTTGATTATTACCATTGTTGCTACGTAACACAGAACTACATGATAGAAAATGCATAAAATAGAAAGTAGAATGTATCCCAGGTTTTAGACAAAATCAATGTTACTACAAATATCTATCTAGGTTTGTGTTTTTTTTTTAAAGATTGAATTCGGTTTGTTTTCAAAACCACTTTTCTGAAAAACTAAAAATTTGTTTGGTTGTAAGCTATAGAGAATTTGATTTATTGGTTATCTTATTTTTGTATGGAATTTATTACTAGTGAGAGGGTAATTTATGTATATAAATGGGGCCGAGCTGTGAGATGGACTTTATGGCCCAAAGTATGAAGGACTGGGTAAAAAGGCCGAAAAGCTACTCCGGCCAAGAGAGATAAAGTTACTCCGGGTCAAGAGAGATAAAGTTACTCCGACCCAAGAATTGTAGAGTTACTCCGGTCCGGAAGCAACTTGGAGTTAGGCCGGTCTCAAAGTTAGTCCGGGTTTTGGTTGTAAGCTAGAGGGAATTATTTATTGGTTATCTTATTTTTTTATTACTAGGATTTAGTGAATTTGTTGAACTGGGTTATCCTGTGGACACAGTTTAATTGTGTTTTATTGGCAGTCCCTGGTGAAAGGTATGGAAAAAAATGGGGAATCATCAGAGTCCGACTCTTATGTTTCTCATGCCATCGCTTCTCAAGTAAGTTTATCCATGGAAAATAGAAGTCTTACCAAGGTTCCGGTTCGGTTGGTTTGTTTTCTCGTAAAATTTACATCGGTTTTTTCAATTTATTTATTTATATATATGTAAAAAGATTGTGTGTGTATATATATGTCAAATCATTTTGTTTTCTGGTCATTGGTTAACATTTGAAATATATTTTTCCAATGCCAAATCTTTCTTTCTAACAAACAACTACTTCAACTTTCTCAACATCAATAATAGATTTAAATGGTTTCACTACACTTTTGAGGACTATTATATTTTATTATATATCTAGAGAAAAAATGGAGAAAATTTAAAAGTACTACGAGCTGTATATTAAAAGTTATACAGCTCACCCCTCTCTCTTCCACCTCCCCTCCCCTCCTTATTCCATTCTCACAAAAGTTCAAAGGTGAATATGTTGCAAAAGTAAGGAGGCGGGACACTTTTGATGGAGTAATTTCGATTACTCTTTACAAATAAGTTATTTTATAAAGTTGCCTACTTTTTGTGAACATTTTTGTATTTGTAACTCTTTCAACAATTGAAAACTGCATAAAAAGAAGACTTTTAAGGTCTGTTCAATTTAGTACTTGATGAAAACATTAGTTGGATAAAATAAAATTTACCCTGAACTTTTATTAAGGCATGACTTCAACTCATGTGCCTTGCATTGGAATTCAAATAGAGACCTGCTTTGGAGTAGGATTAAGCGGCAGACCCGTACTAGTTAACATATAGAAACATGAAAATCCTGTGTTAACTGTTTGGACCAGGAAGTTATTTTAATGGGGAAAATACTGAAAGATCACTGCTATTTTAAATCATGTTCCTAGTGTTGCCATGATAGAATTAGATCTCAAGCATATGAGGTATGTTTCTCTAATTTGACATTTTTTCGTGGTAACTGAGATATATTTTTCTTGGCTTCCTTTTTTTGCATGATTATCATAAAGGTGCATCGGTTAGCGATGGAGGTCCGGCAACTGGCCTCAACAAGACAGATAACTGTGCTGAATGAAAATTCTGGCCAAATCGGTATATCTTCTCCTAATACTTGAACATCTTGTTAAAATACTCTATTTTGGCTTGTCTTTTTCATATGATAGATAATGATATTTTCTTTCATTTCATTATCTACAAAGTCACCAAAGTTTTGTATATCTGCCCTGCGGATATTGACACACTGCATTTTGGTTTTCTGATGAGGTGCATTTTTGGTTGATTTTACATCTCCTTTATCTATCTCTATCCAGGTAACATGACCTCTCTTATAGTGCCAGCTGTTGCCGTGGGTGTATTGTGTTATGGATGCATGTGGTGGAAGGTATGGTAATTGGTTAACGATACCCAAGTTTCCCATCATTGCATCTGTAGTTGTAGCTTTGGTTATTCCCTCATATGCTAAATATTTCTTTAGTTGCATTTTTCTTTTTCCCCTTATTTTTTAATTTTTTAATTTTTTTTTTTATAATGCAATTGCCATTGTCAAAAAGGGGACCACATTGTCAACAGATTTTATTTTTCAATACTGTGATTAATTTGCATTTTTTTTTTGCAAGAAACTAATTTTCAATTATTACATTTTTAGGGTCTTACCTTCTCAGATCTTATGTATGTAACAAAGCGTAATATGGCAAATGCTGTCTCAAACTTGACAAAACATCTGGAGAGTGTGTTTCAGTTTCTCATCAATTTCCTTCTTTTTTTTTTTTTTTTGAGTTTGAGTTTGAGTATGTTTTTTCTATTTTACATCCTTATATTTCATAGACATTTATAGAGTTCATATCCAGTTTTTTCCTTATTGTTATTTAATATATATTGGATCAGGCAACAAAGAGGCACTTGACACAGCGAATTGAGAACTTGGATGGAAAACTCGACGAGCAAGTGGAAATATCAAAGTTAATTAAGAATGAGGTACATTCAGAAACGGGTTATTTCCCTTAGGATATACTGCAGAGCATAGAATAGAGTATTTGAAATGTGACTTTTGACTTTTTGAGTGGGACTGGGAGAAATAATTTGGGTTAGCTTTGATGAATTATAGGGAGGCAAATCAATGAATCTGATTATGATTTAAAAATGATCCAGTAATAGCGTAAAAAGAAGTTCTAACTTGTGTAACAGGTTACTGATGTTCGTGGTGATCTTTCTCAAATTGGCTTTGACTTGGACGCACTACAGAGAATTGTTTCTAGCTTGGTGAGTTTTGTCCCAAATTTTTTTAAATTTCAAACCTTATGTGATTTTTGTATAGCTGTTACTGGATAAGGTTTCTAGTTTTTGGTGAGTTTTATACCATCTCATTTAACATCCACAAACAATTGCATTAAATATAAAGATATTTGATTAAGAGAAGGCTAAAAGAGGGGTAAGACATTTTACTGAAAGGAATGAATTCATAAAAGCTAAGGTTTTTACATTGACTAAACAATTGAAACTTAGAGAAAATTATGTTAGTCGAATTACGTCATCTTTAAAAATGATCATATTCTTTGATTGTTACAAGTTTCTTTTTCGATATGTTCGAAGAAGGTTGTCTTCTCAGATAACATTAACTACATAAACTCGTCTTATAGTTGAATTGCAGCACAAAATTAGATCCTAGAAACAGTGCTGAAATTTTTTATTGATTCTGCTAAGTGTAATGATTGGCTAAAATTAACTACGACAATGTGAACCATGTTTATTGAATAGTTGCTTTCTAGCTGGTGTGGATTGGATTTTCTAACAAGAAATTTGATTTGTAGCTTCATTTGACATCAGGGCTGTAGAACTGTTCACCGTTTTATGTTGGGATCTAGGGGAACACTAAATAACCCTTTGATGACTCCATTGGAAGAGCTGTTTGCTTTGAATTGCAAACCTAAGCAATACTCTGAATTTTCAAAATTTTCATTGAAACAGCCGTTGTCATGTTTAGAAGTATTGAGCTTGACATACTGAATGAATTTTTAGCAACTAAATCAAAGTAGGGGTTGTTTGGGATGTCCTAAATAAGAGCACTTTTTGACTTTTTGGACTAAAAAGTTGAGGAAAAAAATATGCCAAGAATGCAAAGCTATAGGTCCAACCCAGACGCAAACTCTCGCTCGAGCTACCAAACCCCGGCTCGAGCGAAGAACAAAAACGACATCTCGCTCGAGCGACCAACTCCTCGCTCGAGCGAAACACCAAAAACCTGGACAGTAACACTTGGTTTCTAAACCCAACCAACCTGGAACAAACCTGCCCAACACATCCTATAATTCTAAAAGAGAAAATAAAGGACAACAACAACAATCATACAATGACAGAATCTACGGAACCTAAGTCCGGATACAATAATCAAATGGGTAAAGACCGGGGTCGCTATAGTATCAAAGTTGTCTTATTGCTTTAGTAAAACATTTTGGCATGGAAGTTTTCTTGTGTGTTATTTAAAAAAAATTATATGAACTCCTTTCTTGTTGATTCATTCATTTGCTTATTTATGTATTTAATTTTTTTTGTAGGATGGAAAGATATATTCACTGGAAGACAAACAGGTAAAACAGTGGGAAGCTTTAACACAACTGTTGCCATGTTTTCATTGAAACAATTTTTTCAATCATGTTTTCTGTGTCATTTTCATTTTTTACTTTTTAGAATAAAATATAGTTTAAAAGATGATGCAAAACAGGCCCAAACCATAATTCATAAAAGGTGTGATGATATCGAAACAACTTTGTTTTTAATATAAATGCATCTAAAATCCCCTCTCCCAGTGATCGTGTCCGCATTCCTTGTGTGTGTCCATATTTCATAGCCATTGATATAATTAAATATGTAGGAATTGGAAATTATAAATTGGTATTGTTGGTTGGCACATGTTGTAATTTGGCATTAAAATAGAACTATAAAGAAAAAAAAATTCGCAGATGGAGTATGGCATATGGCAAGTATTATGCTTTCGATTATTTCATGTTGTTATTGTATGTTAATTCATTGTTCTGAATAGGAGACCATCATTTTTATTCCTTGCGCATGCGCAGACATTTATTTGCGGATGTGTGTTTCCTTTTTGGATGAGTTGATTGTCTTTAGTAAAGGTAATAGAACAAATAAAGAGGTGGAAGAAAATAAATAAGGAACTGAGTGGCAGCAAATTAAATTGGTGCAATTTAGTCCTCGAAAAGTAAGAGTGCTTGGTATTGATTGAGTTGGGGACAACAAAGTCTGTGCTAGACATAAAGCACTGTTTCTGTTTAGGGCTTCAAAACCTTCCCGTGGATTCTTTGATTTCTTAGCCAACTATCAGATAGTTGGGTCTAGAGATCATAAATTACCTTAAAACAACTCGAACAATGCTTATGGTTCCCTTTTTTTTTTTTCCAATGATTTTCCATTGCATTGATTATTAATTGTTTTTATTTTTTTATCTTTTGTTCTTTTCTTTTTTGTATGCCTGAGGATGTTCTTACATAATTTGGCAACAGGACCTTGCAAATCTTGGTGTGTTGTACCTATGCAACTTTGTTGATGGAAGAAAAGTAAAAATGCTGGAAGTTCTTCACATTTGCACAATTGCTTATGCAAGTTTTAAATTTACACTGTTTTTGGTTCCTTTGGTTTATTTTTGTTGTACAAAGGTTGCGGCCATTTGGGTCTTTTTATGAATATATATTTACATTTTCAGGAAAAAAAGAGTTAAATTTACACCAACCTCTTAGTTGAATTGACTTTTCATAGAATTTTTCCAAGTGGGTACTCCATGCAGCTCGACAAATTTGTATTTTGGATACTTTTTAGTGATAGAAGGGCATAGTGGCTATCTTTTAATGTAATTTTATATAGTCTTTAAACAAATTTACATCAATTTACCCACAACTATGGCAATATCATTTTTGTATCATTAATCTAGAACATACGTCTATTTTGTGGTGTGGACCAAGTTCTTTGTCTTCCACTAGGCATATCTCCATATAAATTTCCTCAAAATTTGTGTCAGTGTTTACATTTTCTTCATGACTGAGATTTGGTTCTCCATCTGGCCAGTTTCTAAATAGATGCTCTTTATAATATTTCATGGTTTTTTTTGTTTTGTTTTGTTTTGTTTTTTTTTCCTACAAGAACAACTCAAGCTTTCTGGAAAGCCCCGGTAGTTATCTCAATTCTTCTGAACCTCCAAGCCTAATGGTTTCTTTCTTACTCTTTAAATATTGTTTGTTACTCAATTTTCATTAGACAAGCTAATTATTTGACAATAAATAGTTCGTCATTTCTTTTGATTCTCTTTTTGATTATATCTTTGTAAACATAATATTTCGTTAGCTTTACATTAGCTTTACAATTCTGGAGAATGTAAACACATGTAAACACTTCAGTCAAAATGATGTGGCGTTACTTTTCTTTCTATAGGGTCTCAAGGAGATAACGGATTCTTTAGTGTCGGAAAATGCCATTAGGTTTATAACTGATGGTACTATGCAAGAAGGTATTGAGAGGTTGGATGACCGGCCCAGGACCTTGATGAGGTATGAATTGGAATCATTGACATTGTTGTCAAGTTGTGAATTGTATCGATAATCGTTTTCATGAAATAGTGAATTGTAAAATTCAGTTTATTTAGCATAATATATAATTTTATGTATGTATATACATGTAAAAGACACAATTGTGTTTAAAATGTAATAAATATCAATATAATTAAATTAGATATAACATATAAGATCAAATATATCAATATAATTATTGGATCTCTTTTTATATTGCGAAAACGATGTCATTTCATACATTATGCACATAGAATAGTCGCTTTATCGTAGTGAATCACAATTGAATTGTACGATTCACTCAATTTAAAATTCAATTGCATGAATTGAATCGTTTTGCTCGAAACTTGTAGTGAAGGATACGAATCAAATCATGAATAGTAAGATTCTAACAACCATGATTGGAATATGATTCTTAATCTGGGATTGCATTCTTCTAAAAGTGCACGTTTCTTGTGCCAACTGCCTAATTATCTTAAATATTGGATTTTCATAGATGATTCTGTGGATTTTGTATGAGAAAGTAATTAAGCGACAAGAGTGCTCTGCTTTAGGCTTAATCAGTGCATCTGAAACCTTGTGTATCCCCAATTTCCTGGGCATGTTGAGCTTCTTCCATTTTAAGCATTTGCATAATGGTCTAAAATTTTCGATTATCTATGTTGACAGTTGATCTGATATTTACAGGACGACTTCGACCAAGTGTTGATTCAAATGTTTTGTAAAGACCATTTTCGGCATGCCCTTGGTGGAAGAATCATCATGAATGTTCAATAAGAAGCATTGTCGATCATATATATATTTACACTGTTAATTTTTTTTTTTATTGTTTCAAACCTAAGTATGGGGTGATTGTTTTGTCAGTCGTGATTCCTTGTCCATGTACTTGTGTGACTGGTTCTCTTATATTGTTCAAGTTTGATCTACATGTTGAACATTAAGTGCTCTCTCTCACACTCACTCTTTCTCATACACATTATGAAATATTCTCTTATATTGTTCAATTTGTTAGGGATTTTTTTGTTGAATTTGGGTTTCTTGAAACTAATATATACTGTATTAGTGGTGGTGATTGATGACAGTAGTGGTGGTGGTAGTGGTGGTGGAATGGTGATGGTGGCACCAACCTAGTTGAGGCAGTGGTGGGTGGTGGTTGAGATGTTGGTGATGGTGATAGTGATGGCGTTAGGAAGACATTAGTTTCAAAATATTTTTTAACTTTTAAAAGTAAAACATATTTTCCATCCAAATAGGTTTATTTTTTGTTGATCATAAAAATAAATTTTGTTGATTTTTACTTTTTGTTGTGTCAAATTAGAAGTTTTTGGAATATTTATTAACAAATTTTAACTCACAAACAAGTGCTTCAATTAGTTTTAATTTTTTTTTTGATTTATTTGTTAGTCTTTGGATATTTTGAGGGACTTTAATGCCCTCATTTAGATATTATTAGATGCATGCTCTTTATGAGGGTGTGTCACGTGACACACAATATGTCACGTGACACATACAATAGGTGCCACATATCAACAAAGTATACTAAGGCTCTTTATACTTTTTGCTTTGGAGTGTCACGTGACACACACAATGGGTGTCACACATCAACAAAGTACACTAAGGCTCTTTATGCTTTTTGTCTTGGACAACCAAAACTTTATGTTCTCTGCATTATAAACCTAAAATCCTTTTGCCTCGTCTTTTCAAATACGTAGAAACCATTCCCAACAACCATATCCACCAAGCTTTAACACTAAATATCGCCTTAAATCAGCATTATTACTGTTGTTCTACATTAAGTTTGGTATCGTAGCTACTAGGTGAATGTTGTTCTCTTTTTGTAACGGTAAGACATCAACCTCCCACTGACACAACATTATAAATTAAAATTGGAAATTTATTTAATGAAGAAGTCTTATATAACTTGTGACAGTTGCAATGATCTGTTAAACTAATTTAGCTTCTACAGATGGGGCATATTGCATTTATACATTGCTAGAAACAACATATAATGCACTTTAATATCATTGCAAAGAGACATTACATTTCTTCCCTTGGATAAGCCGTCTGACTGTTGCTATGCTAATTTGCACTTATTATAAATTAGAACATAGTCATGTGCAGATATGAAACATGCTCAGGAGGATCACTTGAAGAATAAGAAGGACCACACACACACATACACACCACACACTATATATATATCCACCAATCCAAAACAGTGAACTCAAAACAATGAGAACACACACACACACACACATACATATTAAAAAGAAACGGCCGATTGAGCGAGATCTGCACAAAAAGAAGTGGCCGATTGAGCGAGATCTATAACAAAACAGAGCCACAACAAAC